GTATCTGTGCAGGCAGACTTTTTTGCTGAGTTTCCCAGGGACTGAGAGAAAACTACCAGAAAGAACAGGCCCCTCTCGGTTCTACAACGAATAATCTACAACAGTCCTGAGTGGGCAGTAGGATTTATTGCCAGCCAGCTCCTTATCTGGTGCAGTTGGCCCAGCTGGTCAATGATGGCCCCCATTACGACAGATTCAGTCCCTTGAGAGAGCTCTCTTGAGTGAATGGATATGCTTGAAATCTGGCTTTCCCCCTCCTAAACACCCTCTTCTGGAATATAGCTCAAAACCCCTAACCCCTGCTAGGAAAACGGGTTCATATACACATTCTCCTTACGGAATCAAGACAGCATAGATGCTTCAATAACCTGTGCAAACTTGGAGTCACATGGTGATTTTCTTAGCCTTAATCGAATTTTAGGTAGCTGGGTTCAGATCATGAGATGACATAGCAAAGTTTGTATTTATGAACAATGAATGAGAAAATCTTTGCAACGTTTTACGGATATGGATACCTGAAGCTTAGATAGCTTGCGTAACACAGTAAAACATCAGGTCATAATTTATTGGCCTGTTAATAGTGTGTCCTGTCTCCAAATTATGAATTGTAAACAATAAATAGGAAACAAAGCTCCTGCTTGCTGCTTAAAAAATTAACAATTTGAAATGTGTGGTTATATATATGTTTGGATTTGACCCATCATTTGTTTTCTCTAGATAGTATAATCCTCATTAATGATAGGAGACATGAACCATATTCTATTAGAGATATAAATTAGATTATAAAAGAACTCCTCACTTTCACATTCCAGAATAAATAAAATATCTGTAATTTCCTTTACCCTCAAAATAAAATTTCATATCGTGGCACCTGGGTGGCTCAGTCAGTTGAGCATCTGACTCTTGATTTCTGCTTAGGTCATGATCTCACAGTGAGCATGGCGCTCCATGCTAGGCATGGAACCTGCTTAAGATTCTCTCTCTCTCTCTCTCTCTCTCTTTCACCCTCTGCCCCTCCCCCACTTGCATGCACACATACACTCTCTAAAAAAATTAAAAAATATATAAATAAATTTCATATGGCCTGATAACATTATAATGTATTTTATTTTAATTTTTAAAAATTTTTTAATGTTTATTTTTGAGAGAGAGACAGAACGCGTGGGGGAGGGGCAGAGAGCGAGGGAAACACGGAATTGGAAGCAGACTCCAGGCTCTGAGCTGTCATCACAGAGCCTGATGCAGGGCTCAAATTTGTAAACTGTGAGATTATGACCTGAGCCAAACACTCAACTGACTGAGACACGCAGGTAGCCCTAGATTATACTGTATTTTAAAGTTAAACCGTTTTTTTTTTTAATTTTAATGTGTATTTATTTTTTGAGAGAGACAGAGCCCGAGCAGGCGAAGGGCAAAGAGAGAGGGAGACACAGAATCTGAAGCAGGTTCCAGGCTCTGAGCCGTCAGCACAGAGCCTGATGTGGGGCTTGAACCCACAAACTGCAAGATCATGACCTGAGCTATAGCTGGTCGCTTAACCAACTGAGCCACCCAGGTACCCCTAAAGTTCAACCATTTAAAAAGACTTTTGCAATTAAAAGAATTCATTTTAATTGAAACTCAGAAGGAAAAGTAGAACTGAAGATGCAGGATAGGGGCCAAAAAAGTCTAGCCTGTGTCACCCTGGAAACTGGGCCATCACTCAAGTAGACATGCCCTTGTCAATGACTAAAGGCTTCCTCCTCCTGGGGTTATAAATCCACTAGCAAATGCAGTCTCCCACCCCCCATTACCACACACACACACACACACACACACACTCCCACTACTTCCCTCCCTCCAGCTCTATGGGAACGCTAGTAGGAGCTTCAGATCTGAAAGAGAGCTTTTTATAATCTTAAAGGTGAGAAAACTGAGACTCAGTGTTGAAATGAATTGCCTAAGAGTACAACTGACTGACTGGCGCCTCAGTCACCCAACTCACCCATTGCTCTCCCCACTGCTCTGTCTCGGCTGCAGAAACCAGACAGTGAGGAGGGGGCAAGCGGCAGGATACCCAGGTGGACGGACATCTGCCTCAGTGAGATCCACTTCAAGGCAACCCATCGTGGGTTGTTCAGAGGACAGACGAACTCTTCTGATAGAGAGATCTGTGAACTGTGATATGAAGAACCATGGAACACAAAAGAGAAATTTAGCCCCTGAGGCCCAGTGATGTGGAATTTAATCAGAAAAAAAGAAAGAAAGAAAGAAAGAAAGAAAGAAAGAAAGAAAGAAAGAAAGAAAGTTGTGAATTAGGTTATGCAGCAATATATTGAGGTGGAAAGAACAAGCCGCTACAATAAGACTTTTTTTTTTTTTTACATTTATTTATTTTTGAGAGACAGAATGAGACAAAGTGAGAGCGGGGGAGTGGCAGAGAGAGGGGGAGACACAGGATCGAAGCAGGCTCCAGGCTCTGAGCTGTCAGCACAGAGCGCGACGTGGGGCTCGAACCCACAGACGGTGAGATCATGACCTGAGCCGAAGTCGGACGCTCAACTGACTGAGCCACCCAGGTGCCCTTTCATAAGACTTATTTTTGACTCTACTACTTACTTGAGTGACCTTGAGCAAGTTTTTAACAGCTCCAATTCATTTTTTAATCTATAAAATGAGTACCAATTTGGGAGGGTTGAAATTTTGTGTGGAAAGAGAGAGAGAAGAGAGAGACAAAGCGAGAGTAAGAGATTGAATACTAGAGGCACTCATCAGGCTCTCCGTGCATGAATGTCTGGCAAAAAAAAAAAAAAAAAAAAAAAAAAAAAAAAAAAAAAAAAAAAAAAAAAAAAAGGCACTCCGATGTCTGTTCATTGAATGAAAAGTGTATTTCTTCAGCTCCATCAACTCTTGGAAATAAATACCCTTTGCTTTAGAGGTATGGACAGAATAATCCCTAAGTATTAATGTTCTCCCCTCCCCCATTCCCCCTGAAAAGGAAGTCACTTCTCTTATTTCATCATTTAGACCACTTAGGTATGCACTCGGGGCGTTCCTCATCATGTTAATCCACTCAATAAATTCTGTTCAAAACCAAGATTTCATGCGCTGGGCCCAATGGCGGGGATACAGCAGAAAATGCTCCATGATCCCCCTGGAGAGGCTCACAGAAAAAAGTGAGCTTGGATGAAGGCTCTGATTTTGAGAGAGGCCACTAGCCATTAGCCAAAATATGTCTGGATCAGTAACTACACCCTATCATCAACTTGACTCTCTAAAAATTACAATGTGGCTTTAGGACCTGGTACATAGTGTTCGCTCAACAAATATTTGTTGGATAAAGGCATGAATGGGATGGGATGGGAATTTCAGTGAGCTTTTATTGCTCTGGGCTGATGGAGGAGACATGCAGCAAATAAAATCCTTTATTTGAGGACAAAGCAAAGGAAAGCCAATCTTTTATCCGAGTAAGTCTGGTAGGTCTACCCTGAGAATTTACTACCATTTCAGAAGTCCTCTGGGGAGCAGGTGACACCTCTCAGAAACATTTCATGTCACCAACCAGGTGAGGCAGGACTGTTGGATACGACGGCTGAGCGGGTCCAGCTTGCCTTCCCAATCGTCCCAGAGATCTTCTATCCTGAAAATCCCTGGTTCCCTAGCCTTCCTAAACTGCCGGGCACCATACATTCTCTGGCTTCCCCACTCTCTTTGGCTCTAGAGTGCCTCACTGGACTCTATGCTCTCCTTCAGTGAAATCTCAAATTCTTCTGTTTTAGACTTGTCTCTGTGGCTGGTTTGTGAACTTGAGGGAAGGGACACTGTCTATAAATTCCCACAGTACTGGGCAAACATGAAGCGTTTAACGAGTAACTTTTTAAACTGTGTCTTCCGTGTGTAGCCTTGTCCAAGGTCTCCACGTGAGCCACAATACCGAGTGGCGATAAGGGCAGGGACGCAACCCTCATCTACTCTAGAGCTCCCCAGAAGCTCTCTCTCGCACATTCTGTCTCTCTCCTCCGTCTTCTGACAATGCTCTCAAAGACTGCAGAAAGTAAGACAAACCGGGAAAACGAAATCGCGTAACACCATGTAAATACGGTAGATTAGATAGGAGGCCAGAACCTTCTCTTTGGCTAAAAATAAATAAATGTCTATTTAAATGACGACGACCTCAAGCCTGACAGCATTTCACCCATCTGAAGTCTCCTGACACGTTGAGACCTCAAGCAGTGTTGAAAGGTCAACTTGTTTGGTACCAACTCTGACTCAAAAAGATTACTCTCCTGTGAGGTGAGGGAGAGGAAAGAAACGGGGGCAGTGAGGTTTTCCAGCCACTCCACCCAGAGGGTAATTAATCCAAATGCGAGTGGGGTGGGTGGAACTCAAACATCTCCCATTCGACCCACGCCTTCCCCCAGGGTTGCTAAGACAGAAGCGGCCCTGGCAGTCTTCGGGTTGAATCAATACCCCTCCCGCCGAGACCCGCTCTTAGAAGACCGCGACAGGAGGAAAGGTCATGAACACACCCGGGTCTGGACGCGCTGTCCCGGACGGAGCAGCGGGCCCGAGCGCCCCCCGCGGAGCCCGCTCGCAGCCAATGGGAGCTTGAGGTCCGGGGATGATGAGATGCGGGGCCGAGGCTGGGCCAATCAGGCTCCAGGCGCGGCCAGGGGGAGGAGATGGGAGGAGAGGCCGGGGGCGATGGAGACAGCTACACCAACAGAAGTTTCTCACCTATTTCGGCGAGGGACGCTCCCGCACCTCTTGCACACCTCCAGCTCCGCGCGGGAGGAGGGCCCCAAGCTCCTTTCTCCACCTCCTTTCAACTGCTCCCTGCAAGTGAGGGGAAGGCTGCTGAGAGCCCCTACCACCGCTAGCCTTCTTTTTATGTTGTCTCACAGGGAGAGAGGGGGCGAGGGACAACTTGGTTCTGGGGAACTGACCTCTGGCCTGGCGGGCCTCTGGGCAGAGAGGGCAGCAGTGGAGCGGCTGGGGCTGGGGGACTCCATGCTGGGGCCATGGACAGAGCGGCGCTCCTGGGACTGTCCCGCCTGTGCGCGCTGTGGGCAGCCCTGCTCGCGCTGTTCCCCTGCGGAGCCCAAGGAAATTGGATGTGAGTATGGGGGCGGCACGGGGGTTGTGGCAAAAGGGGTGCCCAGCCTCGGGGGACTTCCAGCTGACGCGGGGGAGCAGGGCCGGGGACCCTAGGGCGGATGACCCAAAATTTGGCAAAACACCTGGGATCGGAGGGGAGAGCTGGGGAGCGGCTCACGCTAGGGGCGGCGGTGTCTTACAGGTGGTTGGGCATCGCTTCCTTTGGGGTTCCGGAGAAGCTGGGCTGCGCCAACTTGCCGCTGAACAGCCGCCAGAAGGAGCTGTGCAAGAGGAAACCGTACCTGCTGCCGAGCATCGGAGAGGGCGCGCGGCTGGGCATTCAGGAGTGCAGGAGCCAGTTCAGACACGAGAGATGGAACTGCCTGGTCACCGCCACCGCCCAGCCGGGCACCAGCCCCCTCTTTGGCTACGAGCTGAGCAGCGGTAAGTCCCGGACCCTCGGGGATGGCGCAGGGTGGAGGGCGACAACTCCTCCAAGTACGGTAAATGAAGGAGTGCTTTCGTGGTCCGCCGCTGTCTCAATCCCAAAAGAGGTCCTTTAGTGGACGAGAATTGGGGGGGTGACGGAAACCAGGCCCGGGTGCAGGTGCGGTCCTGGAGGGGGGTGACTCCCCAGGTCCAGAGTGGGGCGCTAGGAGCTGTAGCTCTTCCTCCGTCCCGCGGCGCTCGGCGGGAGTTGCAGAAAAACTGACACTCCACCCCGCCGACCCCTCGGACCCCGTAGCGCCCCCCTACGTGGGTGACCAGCTGGAGAAACATGATGTCGGCAGCAGGGAATGCTGCCGCCGCATCTGCTTTGATTTAAGAGCTCCGCTGCGCACCGAGCCTTGGACAAGGGGCTAATTGCAGCGAAGCCCCACGTTTGTTGGCACCTCGGAGCGCGGGGCAGACAGAATAACGGTGATTGTAAAAGGGAACGTCCTGGACAACTCAACGTGCGGCTAACCCGAGCGCGACTACTTTGGCTCTCCCCTCTGGTCTCCTTTCCTTTTATATCTTCCCTCCAGAGAGCACACCCGCGGCGCGGGAAGCTGCAGTAAAACAAAGTTCCACTTCCACGTGCCCAGTGACTCTGTAGGGATAAAGGTTCAGGGAACCAGGATTGTTCTAGGAATATCAGCAGATTCAAAGAATTTTAGAACCTGGGCGCCGAAAGATTCGTTGTTGTTTTTCACATTCATTTCCGTCCTCCCTCCTCCTTTGACCCTTCTCCACCCGCTCCCTGCACGCATCGCCGCCAAAGTATTGCATTTGCCCCGCTGCGTTTTGGCCGGCGCGCCTTTCCGAAGGGGGCCTGCCCCTCCCCGCACCCCCGCAGAAGAAAAAAGAAGGAAGAAGGGGGAAAAAAAGGAGGAGGAAGGAGGGAAGGAAGGAAGGAAGGAAGAAGGAGAAGGAGAAGAAGGAGAATTAGAAGCAGAAAAGTTTTAGTTGGTGAAATTCAGGGACATCAGCTGTTGAAAAGGTTTTTTTGGACAACGGGCATGCAACTGTTTCTACTCCAATCTTATCTCAAAAGAAAAAAAGGTCATTTGCTGAGTCTCTTCTAGCCCATTTTACTAATGTTTTAATGAACTTTAATTTTCAAAGATTTTAGCTCAAACTCTATTGCAGGTGGGCTAAATATATACTCAGTAGATTTCTATAACAATTCTTTTTTTTTTTTTTTCTTTGCTGGTGACATTTCATTTCTTTGCTGGTGACTTTCACTGCTTTTAAGACTGTAAAAGGATTAGCTAGCACTATATAAAATATTTAACTGTTCCATATTAATATCAGTGACTGTTGTTTATGATATCCTTGGGAAAAAAAAAAACAGTCTTTGATGTGAAAGTAAACTGTAACATCTACTGATTGCTTTGGCCTTTGCTTAATTTTAATTTGCATTCTGACGTGTATTATTTACACAAACAAAAATCACACCAAGTTTTTCAGCTTGGGTTTTGTGAGAACACATTTGAAATGTAAAAATAAAGGTAATCTGGACTCTTTGGACATTGCATTACCATTTACTGTATCCATGCGAAGGATTTTAAATTCAATATGTACTTATTGAACTTTTATTGTCTATTAAGTACTGAGCTAGGTGCTGGCATACATTTCAAATTTTAAAAATAAACAGATGATTCTAATTGTCATGAGGGCAATTTATGCTGTACAATATATAAAAATGCCCCCAAGTGGAATACTGAAAATTAATGTAGCTTTTTTATAAGACTAAAACAATATGAAATTGTCCTTTCTAAATATGTACTCATTAAAGCATCCATTGAAAGTAATTGCAAAATCACTTTCCTGCTAAGAGGGTAAGAAGGAGGCTTTGTTATGAACATAAACAGACGGAGGTATGGCTCTTCCATTCAGCAATTTATGTTTTGTTCTAGGCACCAAGGAAACAGCATTTATTTATGCTGTGATGGCTGCAGGCCTGGTGCATTCTGTGACCAGGTCATGCAGTGCAGGCAACATGACCGAGTGCTCCTGTGACACCACCTTGCAGAATGGCGGCTCAGCTAGTGAAGGCTGGCACTGGGGGGGCTGCTCCGATGATGTCCAGTATGGCATGTGGTTCAGCAGAAAGTTCCTAGATTTCCCCATCCAAAACACCACAGGAAAAGAAAGCAAAGTTCTGTTAGCGATGAACCTACACAACAATGAAGCCGGAAGGCAGGTATGTATCAGAAAATGGAATGAAATCTAGTGCCTTTAAATAACACTGGGATGACACTTCTGAATGAATCTGTCCAAGTGATTTTAAAAACGTACACTGGTAGTGGAAGAAACATATATGTCATCTATATGTATAATATATATGTGTGTTTATTGTATACATAAACAATATGTATGACTTCTACATCGATTCAGTTTAAGTTCTCCATCGGACAGGGGTTGATGTATTGGTGATTTTATATTTTGTCTACCTGGAACACTAATTATAAAATAATAGATGTGCACATGCCTTTGGGTGATTTTGTTCCATCCCCTTAGCGATAGAGCCAGAATAAGATCTATAGGATCTGCCTAATGGTACCGAAGCAAATTCCGTCTTAAATATGACTTTTGATTATTTCTTTAAATCTATTTTTAGTGGGAAATGGCTCCTAAACATCATGTGATCAATGCGTCCGTACTTTCTCCAGCAAACATTCTTGGATACATTAGAGAATTCATAACTGCTAACTAATATTTTGGTAAAACAAATCTTTTTTAAAGACAATTAGTTATTTTATTATAAAGTGATACAGATTCATTATAAAAAACAATAAATGCAGATAAATGTAAAGAAGCTTTAGATACATTAAACATATGGATATTTAAATATATACACATTAAAGATTTAATTTAATCTTTAATTAAATTTGAAGAACCACCATCTAATTAACCTCTTTTATGAATTCTGTGTTTTATACTAAAGTTTTCTTAAAATGGAATAAATTTGTAGCTTAATTTAACTTTTACATATTTATTTTAATGAATATTGACACAATAAAATTTGAGTTCTACAACATAGGGGAATTACTTGGCAATTCATAGTGAGTTTCTTAAAACAGTCAAAACCTTTTTACGAATATACGTTTTCTATGTTGTGATAATCTCTTTAGGACAGGAATATCAGCACATATCCTATATTATTGTAAATATCCAATAACCTGTAAAGGTCCCAAAGTAGTCATTGCAATCTGCCACATTCTCCTGAAATAAATTAAAACAAGTTGCAGTATCTGTCAGAAATATTTAAAGTATATGTTACATTTGTTTTACATTTTTGGAAAGTGAATAAATGGAACCCACTTAGAATAGGTACAAGTTTCAGCCAGCTTTCTTTACTTAGCCATTCTGGTTTATAATGCGAAAACAGAAATCTCAATAAATGTTATTATCACCATGACGCTTCAAATTCAAATTTGAATTTTTAATTCAATGTGAATATTGATTCAAAATAACAAAACAGAAACTAGGCAAGTCAGTAAATAGCTAGGTAGGCTTTTCATATTTTTGTTTAGAAATTTTAAAATTTAATAAAGTAATTCTTGCCTGACACCACAGTTACGCACATGTCTCTTCTTAAAGTTTTCCATGTAAAAAAAAAAAATTAAATGAATGAGGTTCTGCTTCAATGTAAACATTATCCACTAAAGGATTTTTAAAATTATCTCTAACATATGAATATAAAAGAGGTCAAATATATGTTTGTGTTTCTTAATACATATTTTTTAAAACTCTAGAGTTAGGATGAGAAACACATTAAGTCAAATTAATATCTTTAAAAAGACCCACAAATGTATATTAATTATCAATTTAGATCTTAAATCTTCTTTAATCATTCTTTAAATAATTTTGTAGGGAGTTTTAACATTTCACTAGAAAACAAAACTTGGAAATTCATGTCATGATTAATTCCCTGAATAAAGCTATCCCTAAACTTCTGAGAAGCTCTGCAGTATTCTGTATTTTTATCAGTATCATTAGGCAGGTATTTAGTGTTATTCTGTCTTGTGTGTTGTTTCTAATTAGGTAGCAATATTTGCCTTGGTAACCACTTGATCTTCAACTAGTATTTATATTCCAAGTTTATTAAAAACATACAACTATTTAGCATCAACTTTAATCCACTGTTTGTTGGCAAAAAACAATCTTCTCACATTACTGAGGTTTTTGCTATTATTCTAATCGTGCAGAAAATAATTCAGCCTATACATATTATATGCAGTTTGTGTACATTTTGGAGTTTTCTCTACTGAGTCTTTTTGTTCTTCATTGGTCTACATAGAGTCTTAAAATATTACAAAACGTTACCTGGACTGGAGTTTTTGTTGGTCTGTTTTCATGAAATATTACAATTCAAAACCATTTTGTATTTTTCTTTCCACTGGCAGCCAAGCCCCCCCCCCCCCCCCCCCCCCCCCCACAACAACAAAAACCAACCAGGTTTCCAGGCTATTATCTAATATGGAAGAACAATCAACTCCATTTTTAAGATTGGCAATTAGGATTCTAATCTAATAGGCATATTCTTCTGAGTAAAGTTCAAGGTCTGCATTCAATTGAGTTGATTTTCCTCGTCTCAAAATCCCAAACTCAAAATGTAGGAAAGCGTTCAGAGAAATGTGGGTACTGGCGCTTAGTAGTGCTGTGAGCAGGACAGATGATTTTCTAACCGCTGACCTTAAATACTCTGATTCCCACTTGGTTTCTGACACCATTCCTAAAGTTATGACTCCAAGAATAATGTTGCTGAATGGTGATTGGCTAACAGAATGATGTGATGTCTTCCAGGGGCAGAACTTCTGGGAATAATGTGACTTGGAATATTTATGGGTATTTCTTTTGGTGTGCTTAAAATATTTCCATTCTTCCCATGTCCACCTCATAAACTTTTAAGTTTCCCTACCCCATAATTTGTTTTATGATGAGTAACTCAAAAAAGTGGGAAGGGCCCAACCCCAAATTTTCATTGACCTGTTTCAAGAATATTTATAAGTACTTGAACAACACATAAGTGTTTTGCTTTTCAGCAGGTTCAAATATATTTTTGGACTGAAAGAGACAAAATGGGTCAGAGGAATAGGAATTCTACACATAACCATCCAACCTTATGTCACAGTTTTCCTGAAAACTTAACCAGATCATCTGATAGTTGACAAAATGAAATGTTTATAACAAAATGTTCCACAATAGTTTGTTTTGTTTTGTTTTGGTCATTTCTGTGAAGTTTGGATAAAGCGATACACTGGAAAACAATCATCGCCTGCTGTGTTACCTCTGAATCAAAATTGTGGGACCAGTCACTCCTTAGACCACTTCTTAGCAGTTTCTATTTTTACATTAAGTATTAATGATACATCTTTCCTATTTCACTTCGTTAGAAGTTCATCAAACCAAAACTTAACACAAAGAGCCCAGTAAATTGAATGCTACCCTCCTAATTGCTCTCCCATAGTTGAAAAATATTCCACCAAAATGTGCACATCTGTTTGCAATAGTTAACAAAACATTCCTCTGTTAATATCGTTATAAACCTTAACAACTCAACTAGAGTAGAGAAAGGAATTTTCTCATAACCACATACTACTCATACGAATGCTGTTCTCTAACTTTTCCTGTTAGCAGAAAATGGCTGCTATCACTGCAGTTCAGAGCAGCTATTTGATGTTAATCAAGAATCCCAGCTGAAAAGCTCCAGAATATACTTTTTTTTGGAGTGTTCATGCAATTTCCTTAAATATACTACATTTTCCATTTTCATTTTTCTCTGTTCTACTAAAATTCTCCAGCTGCATATACAGACTTTACATCATATATCACCAACTTTCCTTATGTAAATCAAGTGTCTTAACCATGCTGTTCATTCTTTTGTAAAACTGGAATAATATGTAAGTACATGTTCATTAACTACCTACTGTGTGCAAGGCATTTCTTTCTGTAAAGCTACATCAAGTAAAATAATTTATGACAAAGTTCTCTGAGAAACACTAAGTTCTGCAGTTAAACTGTACGTGTGTGTGTGTGTGTGTGTGTGTGTGTGTGTGTGTGATCTGCCTTGGACTCTGCATTTCATCAAATTGTCCTAATGGTAATTACATTGCTTTATTTTAATCCTTATTTGCCCAAGTTTCTTCCTTAGAGTTTTTTTTTTTTTTTGGGCTATAATCATTTAAATTTCATGTCAAGTTATTGGAATTCTTCTCCTTGATGTTTATTTGTCTTTCTATCCTAGACTATATCTATAGCTATGTCTATATCTATATCCATATATATGATAATATATATGGTAAAACATATGTAATATAAAATATATACAATAAAACTTATGATAAAATGTAAATAAATAAAATATAAATATAAAATATACACACGATAGAAATACCATATTTATACTTATTGTTAAGGACAAAAAAGATAATGGAATTGAAAGGTAATTGAACAAAACTTAAAAATATCATCCCTGAAAAGTTATAACTAACTCCAGGTATTTAAAAGATTCTAGTTTTCTATAGCAAGAAAATCTTCCCAAAATTCTGATGTGAATTCAGCAGGTGATATCATTAGATATCACCTTTTTATCCTTCAAACCTGGCAGGTAATGTGTGCTAACTCTGTGGCCTAACACTGCTGTGGGCTGAGAAATCAGAGGAGAGCCCCATAGGATCCAGACCTTTCCATGCCATTGACTCTCCTGGCAGTGACTCCTTTGTTTAAGGTGGTTTTCAGTTCTTTCTTCAGCTTCAGAGCACCAACAGAGAGTGAGTTAAAGCTGTTCAAGTGAGCTGGACTAACTATTCCGTAAGTATTTGGTGAGCATCTACTCCATCCTCCATGCTTTGCAAATTGGCAACACCATACATGATGTCTGAACTGGTTGATGAAACAAAAGTCGGCCCCTCAGTAAGATCCTGAGCAAGAGGCAGTTTTAAATCACCAAGCGATGACTGTGAGGAATGTTGATCAGGTTTAAATACATAAACAGACATTCTTAGATTTTTGGCTTTCTTTGGACAATTTGTTTTGTTATTGCCTAGCATTAGCTGAGCTCTCTTTTTCTCATATCCTTCAAGCCCTTAAAATCTGAACAAAAGTAGGCAGATTGCATTAATTTGAACATTCATTTGCCTGGAGACATTTTAAAGAATGGAAGTCTTTGTGAATATCAAATGCCATAAATTTAAGTAACTAAGCTGTGTGCCATACTTTATAAATTGCTTTCATATCATTGAAAGCTGTCTTTTGCCTGGGTTACTAAGAAATAGACATAGCTACTTGCTTCTCAGTTTTATGAATTCAAAAAGAGCATATGTGCTTTATTCCATAAAGGACAGGGTTTAAATATTATTCTGTTTACTATTTTCAACACTAATAAGTATCGAATATTGCACAAATCAATACCATATGCTCTCACTCAAGGTTGCAAATATTATAAATTGTCCGAAATAGTCCATCTCATTAGATAGTTCAGAAACTTTAATTTGTTGGGAAACCTAACATTCCACGAACACGTCAGTGTCAAGTTTAGTATAAAATGGCAAAACATAAACCCCTGTCATTTTAGAGTCGTGATAAGAACTGTAAGTGGAATTTAAGCTGTGAGGTTTTCCTTTCTTTGGTGAGATGACACACATAATTTCCAAGTTATTGAATGGGCAGATCAATTTCCCATTTTACCCAGCATGCTGACAGACCGTCAGCGCTACAGCTAGCCCCGGCGATTTATTAATCTGCTCTGTCGTCCTCTAGGGATGGAAGGAAGCTGTGTTAACCAGCCTGCTGTATAAGAGAATAGAACCCCAAAATTCTTGAAATCTCTCTATTGCTTTTGCACGTTGAGCCCCATGTAAAATTTTCTCTCAACTCTTCCCGGACCTTCTTCTTCAGGGAAAGGGGGCATTTATTTAGACCTTAATGTGTGCCAGGCAACGGACTCTTATAGATATATGTAATTTCATTTAATTCCTCAGGCTGAATAAACCAAACTCAGCACTTCGAATTGAAAAATTATGTATATATATTATCCCTTTTCTATGTTAGGATGGTGCTACTGATCCATCAAGAATAGGACATATGTTTTGAATTAATTTTCCACAACAGGGGAAGAATTTGCTGGGAGCAACCACACTCTCCAGCCCCTTCTCCTTTTGACCAATTTAAGTTGATTCGTCAGGGTTTCTCATGTGGTCTGTGACCAGAGGATAACACGGTGCCTCAAGCCCGCATGAACGTAATGGACTTTTACAGTGATCAAACCTGAGAACTCTCAATCCATAGATCTCATGCTTGGATGCCCGTTAGAATCATCTGAGCAGCTTTGTGGACGTGCCACTGCCTGGACCCCACCTTGGCCAAGTAAATCAGAATCTCAGCGATTAGTGCGTTGGTTATTTGCAAAGTTTCCACGGATGCTTCTATGCACTTGTGAGGCGAGGATGACCATCCTGTCAGTGCTTCTCAAGTTTTAAGGTGCATACGAGTCCCCTGAGAATCTCATTAAAATGCAGATCCTGATTCTGTGGGACTATAGTGGGGCCAGAGAAGTTGCGTTTCTCACAAGTGATGTTGGTGCTGCTGGTTCATGAACTACACTATGAGTAGCAAGGTGCGATATCAGGAACATGGAGGCATGCATGAACATCTTCCCACCCCGAAATTAAACACAAAAATAGACATAAGAGTAGTGTCCCTCAGGTGTCTCAGATAAACCCTGATGACTACATTGGCCTGGTCCACTACTTTAAATTAGACTTGGAAACGTTTGCTCTGCAGGGTCAGAACGACAAAACACTGGAACCCTGAAGCAGCTGTAGAGACCCTTTATGTTCAAAACTATCGTTTTTGTGCAGGACTACACGGACCCAGAAAGTGAAGTGGTGAGGTCAGCCGCGCTTCTGTTGTTGGGTAAGACACTTCATGAATGATATTTAATGCGATTCCTGTGGGTTTCAGGCCGTCGCCAAGCTGATGTCAGTAGACTGTCGCTGCCACGGAGTGTCCGGCTCCTGCGCTGTGAAAACGTGCTGGAAAACGATGTCTTCCTTTGAAAAGATCGGCCATTTGTTGAAGGACAAATATGAAAACAGTATCCAAATCTCAGACAAAATAAAGAGGAAAATGCGCAGGAGAGAAAAAGATCAGAGGAAGATACCCATCCGCAAAGATGATCTGCTCTACCTTAATAAGTCTCCCAATTACTGTGTAGAGGACAAGAAACTAGGGATCCCAGGAACACAGGGCAGAGAATGCAACCGCACGTCAGAGGGCGCGGACGGCTGCAACCTCCTTTGTTGTGGCCGCGGCTACAACACCCACGTGGTCAGGCACGTGGAGAGGTGCGAGTGCAAGTTCATCTGGTGCTGCTACGTCCGCTGCAGGAGGTGTGAAAGCATGACTGACGTCCACACTTGCAAGTAGCCCCTCCATCCAGCCTTGAGCCCCACTCCTCAGTGACAAACAAGGGACTGCCATTCCCAGGTGCCTCCCACTGTGCAGGGCTGTGGAAGGCGCCTCCTGCCTCCGAAGTCCCAGACCCTTGGGCCTCCGGCAGCGCTCTCCTTTCCTGACGGATATCCAGTCACACACTGAGCATGTGGATTTGGGGGGATACCAGAGTTGACAAGGTTTGGGTTCATTCTTTGGTGGTTTGGAAATACATATGGACCTACCAAGAAGATAATCTGTCTCCTAAACAAGAAAGAACAAGAAGGAGCCTTCATGCGGGGACACCTGGGCCATGCTTAGGATAAGATCCTTGACTATGGAATTCAGTTATGGAACTCAATAGCGGTGGGTTTAATATTAGACGTTTTTAAAAGGCGCATCTTATAGCAGCAAGGAACAGTAAACATGATCTCATTTATTTTCTCAGTAATTTGGGTGAAGAAATCATACTGTGCATAGAAACAGACATTGAAAAGTTAACAGAAGCGGAAGGTGCTTACCTACCTTTTCATGCATTTCAAAAGAAGGGCAATTTCAAAGAATTTTCATAACTGATACAGTATCCCTAAAATGTGTTTGCTAGAGATGTTTAGTGACAAAAGGGAAGAATCTAAACATAGAACGTAAAATGTATGATTTGGATTTTAAGTGCCTTTTAACTATGAGAGTTTATCTAGAAAAATCTCAGTGAGATATACAGCAATCTTTTATCTTTGGCTTTATTCTTTAATTGTAGACCAGTTTCTACTATTAAAACCCAACTCTGAAATATCGGAGAAGAGAGGGATCTCGAAAGCATGTGGGAAACTTAAAGGTAAAAACATAAAGGGCTTTCATACATTGTAAGGGAAAGCACCCTTTAAACATGTAAGACAGTATTTTGTACAGTATTTTGCTTAAAAAAGTTATATATTTTGTAAATACAGTATTTAAGTTATATGATGATATGTATTAAAACTTCAGACATTATTGCCAAAGCCCAAGAGTTAAGGCGATAAAATTATCTCAGAAATAAGATTAGCTTCTGTTTCTTTTCATTCTATTAACTCTGACTTTTTTTAAACATTGAAAAAAGTTAATTGAGCAGTTATATGGATGTGTTTTTCTTGTCAAAATGACAGTTTTACATGTTATAGATTAAAATATGCTGCAAGATATTGAGAATTGTGTTATTTCAGCAGATTAGTTAAATTCTGCTTTTAATTAGTTCTGTTTAACTTGTAAGGCTATTATAATAAATTATGCAGTAAAAGTGTTAACTGGATAAAAGAATCTACATCAAAACAATGATCACCTTGTGTATTTGATATCCTGGATATTTATTATATTGTATGTAATGCTGCATTTCCATGTGAATGTTGAATGGTCTTTCTAAGTTTAGTATTCATGCATGTATATTCATCATACTTTACAAGGTTCCTGGTAAAAATTACAGGGCTGTATTTAAGGTTGTGTTTTAATGTAGATGCTTATGTTTTTTATGAATTGTTAACTATTTCAGTATTCTATAGGAAAAAACTTCTAAGTTCAGGAAAGACAAAGAAAGAATATTCTTTTTCTAATAATAAGCCAAGAAAATGTTTCCTTGCCCATAACTCTCATCCTATTTCCTTTCAATCTTATTTCCCAAGGCAGAGCAATAATTTGCAAAAAAGAGCAAACCCATGGAAAATGTCTCAGGCTTCATATTAAATTCAAGGCTAAACATTTCATTGTGACCCTTACAGTTTAACAAAGAAATATTATTTATAAGTGAAAATCTCAGAAATGACAATTGAATAAATATAGTACTTATTTAAAAGAGTGGTTTACCAATCTTTAGCATCCGCTGATTAAAATAACCTGAGAGACTTATTTTCATGCCCCCCCTTTTTTGGCACAGTAAATCTATTTTATCTGCATTAAAATAAGCACTCTTTTTTTTTTAAGGTGAAGAATAGTTCCCATTAACAACCAATTTCTTCTATCAACTAGACAACTTTTCATAATTACCTTACCAACCAATTGGTAGAATCAGGTGGCCTCCAATTCCCAAACGCTAGTATGCAGCCATTGCTTGAAGACAGTGATGCCAACTCAGACTCTCTTCTCTGGGATGCCTGAGCAGGATCTCCTAACTCCCAAGCTTTGGCTTCTTCTTTTTTGTGTCTTTTTGTGTCTTTGGCTTCTTCTTTTCCTTCTCCTCCCTGGCATCACTATGGAAGCCATTCTTGAATTTCTCACCAGTTTAACTGATGGCCAACCTGGACTTGGCTCATTTTCTTCCCACTCCCTGTCATGCTGCAGGTAGCACCACGGTGCTCTCGGGAATACAATTTGTGGAGCCCAGATGTTCCTATTCAATCTAAGCTATTTTGCCTGCATTGTTTAGGGCTCTTCGTGTTGCAAGTAACAGATGACACAACCCAGACTGACAAATGTTAAAGGAAATGCATTGACTCAGTAACTGAAGAGTCCAGAGTCCAGACTGGTTCCCGTGGAGCTCGATCTGAAAACTCACACTATGTTCCCACGGTTCAGGTCTTTCCAGCTCCAGCCTAAACAGGCTGGCTTCTGCAGTGTTGTCTTCTACTTCAGGCCCTACAAGGTGGTGGGGGGACCCTCACCACCTCATGCCACCCCAGGGGCCCCAGGCTCTTCTCTTTTCTTAGCTAAATGGCTGCTACGCTCCCTCCAAGCCTCACATTCTCCTACCACTCATTCTAAGGAAAGAGAGAGGTTCTTCTTGGTTGCTTCTATAGGAGAGATGGAATTTTTTTTTTTCCTTCACAAAATGACCAACTAAGGTAGTTCTGAGACTCATTGGCTCTGATTGGTTAATATGTCCATCAGGGAACCAATCACAATGGGCATTGGAGATTGGGGTTAGGGGATAAATACATTGATGATCTTAAGGCAATCAGATCCAGTGTGGAAAGTGGCAGTGAGTGATTCATTCCGACTAAACTCAAGTAGCTTGAGAAAAGGGAGGGAAGAGGTGAATCCGCGGAGGAAAACCAGGGTGTTATGTTAACATTAAAGGGTACCTGGGTGCTGGGCAGCACAGACATTAGATGTCTTCAGCTCCAGTGATGTGTTTCGAAAACAGCTTTCTGGCAGCACTTGGGTCAGGCTCACAGCCAGACAAAGCCCTGTGACTTATGTATAGGGTACAAAGTGCCTTCTTTTGTTTAAATGCCCTTTATGATGTTGAAAGGGGAAAAGGAGAGGGGAGGTGCTCTAGTGTATTAATTTTCAACATAGGAGTTCAACTATTTTATAAATTGGGAAATGCTTAATAGAGACAGTGGTAAGAGGCAATGATGATTGTCTGAAAATGATATCAAGAAAAGCATATCAAATGGCATTATCTATAACCTCTAGATAAAGAAGTTTGCTAATTAAAATATTTCCCTGGTAGTAGTAGCTTGCAAAACATTAAAAAACGCTTTAATTTGTTTGGCTATAAACAACTGCATTCTTTCCTTATTCACAATCTGGATGATAGTCGTTTTGTTTTTAAAGAACTAGGATAGCTATAGAGTAAAAATAGAATCTAATTATATAAGATGCTACGACCCTGTATGTTTTTGCAGCTTTGTAATCATGTGATATTCACAGTAGAGATTTTAGAAACACACGTTGACTTTCGCAAGCACTGTCAGTACTAGTGTGTCTGGTTTCTACTTGGTTTAAAATGTGGAACCAGAGAAGCTTCCCATCAAAATATTCATTTATAGGCAATTTGATGAGCTGTTGGAACTTGTTGCATTGCGTTGCATTGCATTGCAGTGCCCAGACACTGCGGAGTTAAACCAACCATTTGGAGCCAGTTAGTTAGTGATCCAGAGTACTATAATCCACTTAGCTGACTTGAAGGAAGAAAAATTCAAGTCTGATCTCCAGGAACCAGGAATACTCCTCAGGGCAAGCCCTTCTTAAGGAAAGTTGGCTAAGATGCCTTGATTTTTTTTTTTTTTTTTTAATTTCAGTTTCACTATAGACCAGATGTGATAAGTCATAACATTTCTCAGAGTAGGATGATGAGGTGAGCCGAGAAGGACAAATGCATGTGGCGCAGCGTGAAAAGGGGGACATGGTTGTACACCAGGGACTCATTTCCTTTGAAATAGGGAATAATAGCAAACACTTAATTAGCACTTACTGCGTACCAGGCATTAAGTAACTTCTATGTATTATTCTGTGCCCTTCACCAACATGTGCTTCACACAGCATCAAAATTGTCACACACTGAGTTTGCAGTATACCATTTAGAGAGTTTGGGGCCTTTGTAAATAAAATGAAAATTACAGGATGTTCCTTCATGGTTTGGCTATATAAACTTGATTGAGGAGCAGTAGTTAGATGATGGAAGAACTGAGAGCTTAGAATTCACCATGAAATAGAATGAAAAGACACTGCCTCTTGATTTCTAAGCTCTAAGTGATTTAAACTGCCTGCTATTTTAGATCCCAGTGTGGGCTAACAGTCGGATTATGCAAGAGCCTAACAATCATTCCAAAAGGAAATGACTGGGGGTGAAGATCAAACTAATTTAGTGCGACGTTAAATAAATACTTACATCCTTTTTATTGTTGTGCTTACAGCCAATTGTTACATAAGGTGTCATTTTTAATACATGGATGAAATTTACCATTGGTAACGATTTACATTCACATCCAAAGGAAAACCACTAGAGGTGGTTTGCATGATTAAAACCTCTTGAAACAAAATCAGGATTGAAAAAGCAGCCTCTCCCACTGATTGTAAAGGGAAAGTAATAATAAATGTGGACCAAGTCAACACAAACTGCAGTTTCGTATGTGACTTTTTAATTTGCAGAGTTAAGTGAAAGCATCTGATTGGTGTGTGAATGGTGGATATAGCGCCGCCTGTTCCCCTCTGTTAACTGCTGTTCTGAACGCTCGGAGAGGCTCCCCTCAATACAGGCCAAGGAGCCTTCCCTTTTGTACGCTAGTAACAATCAAGCCCCT